CCCCAAAACCCCAAAACCCCAAAACCCCAAAACCCCAAAACCCCAAAACCCCAAAACCCCAAAGCTTACATAAGAAATAGAAACCACCCAAAACACCTCTTCCCTCTCCCATACCCCCAAAACCCCAACTAAAATCCTCTTAAACCCTTCTTATCCCTCAAAATTCTCTCCAAACCTGACCTTCTTGTGCATTCCTCTTTCCTAAACTTCACATTCCGCCATACCTCTCTTGCCTTAAGCCCTGGCCTTCTTTCAAAATCAGAATTGTTCTGTTTCAACAGCCCCTTCTTTCCTCCCTACAGATGAGCAGAATTGTACTTTGGAGTAGAACGAGGAGTGAGTTTTGGAATTTGAGTTAAATGTTTTGTAGAAGTGGGAGAATGTCTTTTTGGAGAAGCAGCTGGGGTTGGTGCTCAGTTTGGTGTTATTAAAGGAATATTCTTATTATCTTAGACAAAAAATACCTTCTGTGGGTTGGTGAAAAGATCCAGAGTTATCGTCTTGGTGATGGGTTTGAATGTTGACTAGCGGGCTTATGCTAGTGTCATTAAAATTTCTAGTTTCCTTGTTAAACGTTGTGCAATTGAATGTTCTGTATCCGTCAAAACTGCTCTCATTGATTTCATCTAAATATTAATTTTACAAATTTACCAGCTTCGATATCTCTTGCCTTAACTCATATATCTCCAACCACTAATTTTTATTTGACTCCTTACTTTTTAGAAGATTCGCAATATCCATTTTATTTGAGTAATAATCATTAAACTTGATAATCTCTCAGAGAAACATCTTGGAAGCCTTTAAATCTCATTAAAACCTGACAAACCAAAACTCAACCCCTCTTGAACCCCTCCCTCCCAAAACTCCTCCCCACACATCTCTCATCCCACCCCTCTCCTTACCTTTATCACCTCTATCGCTGACGGATCCTCTTCATCCCCAGTACCCCCAGTACCTCCATCCTCACTCTCACTGCCCTCAGACTTCTGCCTTAGTTCCTCCCTCTTAAACCCTAGACTACTCCAAGCAGAAGCCTTGTCTTGGTCATCCATCTTCCCCAATATGTTAGCTATCTTCTTTACTTCTCTCTTGATCACGCTAAGTTTCTTAGCTAAATTTTGGGTTAGGCAGATCGGGAGTTTTAGCTGGGAATAAACAAAAGATGGTCTTTTTGGGAATATAGGTGTCAAGTTAATTTTGGAAAGGCTGTTTTCTTAACAATTTAACTTAACCATCTAATTGGTGGGAAGTTGATACCTTGATTGTTTTTGGATCTCTTCTTTATTCCAAAATTTAACGATTTATTCGGTCTATGGACCATGAAAGTTAGGTTTAAATCTGATCTTGCAGTGATTCTAGAAGGATAAATATATTAGTACTTCTTGCTCCCTTTAGGGGAGATTCTTGGAGGGCTTTTAAGATATGGAAGGCAATTCGATCTAGAGTGCGTTGATTTGATATTTCTTTGAGAATTTGGAAGTCTACAAGAGTAATTAAAAATTGATAGAAGAAAATGTACTCTTGAGGCTGATTTATCTGAAGTTGGTGATTATTGAGATAGTTTGACATATTTATGTTGGATATCTTGTATTTTGTAGTTATAAATAATTCTTATATTTCTTCATCTTCCGTGGCTTAACAACTACAAAAACAGGTATAAAACTCAAATTCAACTCAAAAACTTACCCTTGTCGAACTCTTTCCCATCTCCTCTCTGTTTCTCCCCTTGCTCCTATACCTCCTCCCAAAACTTTACCTTTTCCAAAAACTGCTTTCCCCCATTCTTCAAGTACTCCTTGACCATACTCCTCTAAACCCACTATAACCCCCTCAAAATCCCCCCAAAACCCTATAATCCTTCCTAAAACACCATATCTTATCCCTTACAAGTTCCTTTTTCTCCATTAGTCAAATTTTATTTTCCAATTTTAAAATTAAACGTTGGGGTTTTGGGGTTTTGGGGTTTTGGGGTTTTGGGGTTTTGGGG